CGAAAAGGTGACGCTGATGAATGTGGGCTGTCAGAGGATTCTACTTCCTAATTAATAATACATGTCAAATAAAAAAGTGGGGCAGCTTTTTGCACTTTGGTGAATCCTAAACAGTATTTATCTGGTTCAAAACAGATTTCAAAACAAATATTTGTTTTGATCTGTTCACAAATGAGTAAAACTCCAATATATGAGCTGGTTTAAAATGTAACATGTGTCTCCATATCTCCTCAGAACTCAGATGTGGAGTCATTCCAGACAAAGCTCACACCTCTCACCTCCACTTCACTCGAGAAGTTGCGTCATATCCTTGACCACAGGTGCATTGTGGGAGGTGGAGAGCAGATCTTCCTTCTTTCGCAAGGGGTGAGTCAATGTAGCACTGTAGTTATGTCTTTTCCACACAACCTGCTCAATCCTCTATTATTAGGTAGATGTCATAATATTGAAGAATATTGAAATGTAATTTAAGTCTTTGTCAAGAATAACATATTTGATATCAGATAGCAGCCTATATGTGTGATGTACTGTATTTCAACATCCAGGCCAGTATCATCAAATGCTGTCCTTAAACCTCGTCCCATTTCTTTATCTGTTCTCTCAACTTCCCCTTGGCTTTGCTTTGATTTTGGGAAAGATTTTCATGCAGCGCTGAAAGGCTAATCTATTCAACCCTAATGTTTGTATTTGTTTATTCAGAGGGCTAGTAGTGAGCCAAGGGGATTGAATATGTTCTTAAAGCATGGTAGCCTGTAGATGAACCTGTTTTGACCTCTTTATCTGCTCTCCCTGTTTCCCCTTGGCTTGTGTAGAAGTCTCAGATATACATATGGGAGGGGAAGCTGCCGGTGCGCTGGAGGAAACTGGAGAGTTTCAAGCTGGAACTGCCAAGAGATACACTTCTGAGTGTGGAGATCGTCCAAGAACTAAAGGGCGAGGTGAGACGAAGAACAGATGAAATATGGGAGCCAGTATCGTAATCTCTTTAAGCTCGGCTCTATTTATTTTCTTTCTGAAATAACAACAATTCTCATGAGATGCTATGTACTTCTGTTGTGTCCTGCATTCCTAATTGTTTTCTCCAAAAACATGCTTCAGGTTGTTGAGTTCAGTTGTATTTGTAGGAGTTTTCAGTGTTTTTCCCCCGTGAAAAAAAGAACAGTTGCATATTGTTAGAAAAACACCTCAAAAAGCATTTTGCTGCTTGTATTTGTAAAGATATAAAGGTTTCAATACAGTTTCTTTGGTCCTTAGGGCAAAGCCCAGCGGAGAATCAACGCAGTTCATGTGATGGATGCTCTGATACTGAATGGCACTGATGTGAGAGATCGGCACTTCAACCAACGGTAGGAATGATACACACACACATCTTCATAAATAAATTCACCTACGATTGCATTACAATTCCCTTTCACACCAGTTTTTGTATTTTACTAAATAATGTACATTGTGTATCCAGGATCCAGATGGCTGAGAAGTTTGTCAAAGCAGTGGCCAAACCCAGCCGACCAGACATGAACCCTATCAGGTCATCATTTTAATGAATTTCACTATTTTAAATGTGCTTTGTCGTCTTTTGAAGAGATCTTATTCTCACTAAAGCACCAAAAGTGTGGCCGGCATGAAGAAAACTCACTTTTATAGTATCAAGCTTCACGCATAAAACATTTCAAATGTCATGGAAATGTAAACACAAAGCTTACAAGTAGATTTAGACTTTAATCCCCCTGTGACATTTTCTGATCACGTAAAGCCAACATGGTCAGCAAGTTTATTTGACACTAAAACAATACACACCCACGTGCTGAGATTGTGACATAGCTACTACTTTATGATGCCGGTCCAATATGCAGCTCAAACAAAATGTGATATGGGTCCAGTGCTCGGGTTTGAATGAGTTGATTAGTTTGAGAGTACTTTTATATCTTACATTTCTTTAATGGTACTTCTGTATTTTCTCAAACAGAGTGAAGGAGGTCTACAGGCTGGAGGAAATGGAGAAGATCTTTGTCAGGTATGGCAGGATGTCGGTAATGGAGAATGTAAGCTTTATAACATCAGGCCAAGTTTCACATTTCTCTAACTATCTTTTCTTCATACAGACTAGAGATGAAGGTGACGAAGAGTTCAGGAGGAATCCCACGTCTGTCCTACACGGGCAGAGACGACCGACACTTCCTTCCCACCGGCCTTTACGTCGTGAAGACTGTCAATGGTATGAGTGGCACTTAAAGGTCACCTATTATGCAAAATCCACTTTTTCACGTCTTTTACACATAAACATGTGTCCCCTCTGTGTAAAGACATTCTGAAAGTTTCAGGAAAAAAGATTCACTCACTTTTTGTCCTGATCCATTTATATAAAAACCTGTCTGAAAATGAGCTGATCAGATTTTGGCCACTTTATGATGTCATAACGATTTTTTAGCTTGTGTAACCATTAGCCAATAACCAACCAAGGTAACCCCCCCCCCCCCACCTTATCACCTGAATCTCCTCCTAGAGCACCATTGTGTTATTTTTAACCAAATATCTCTCAGAGAGGCGTGGGGAGTGGCTCCTTATTTTCATCTAAAGTAATAGACAGAGAATCAGCACTTTTGAAACAGGGCTGAAACAGAGGGGATTATGGGATGCTACAATTCACGATCTGTTTGGTATTTCGAGCCAAACACTTCAGAGACATGTTTGTATATATCTGAGACCTATAATATATTGATGAAAACAGTATAATAGGGGACCTTTTACATTTCATACATTTAAATTCAGAAATGTTCAAAATATGTGTGTCTCTTCGCCTCCTTCCATCAGAGCCCTGGACGATGGCATACAGCAAAAACTCCAAAATGAAGTTCTTCTTCAACAAAACCACCAAGGACTCCACCTATGAAATGCCAGCCATCGCTGCTGCTCCCTTCAGGTTTGTAGCGTCTTCTCCACATTGAGATAGCAACATCTTTATGTGATTTAACAGTTTCCTTCCTTTGTCTTCACCTTCAGTGTTTGCCACGCTGAGCGGTACTTCTGGGCCTGGGTGGACGGGGTCATAGTCCACGACTCTCAGACACGGATGGACCCCGAGAAACTGTCCAAAGATGATGTTCTGTCCTTCGTCCACCAGAACCACCAGCCCTGAAACGCTTACAGAGCCCTGGAGCTTCACTGGCTGCAAACTACACGGAGAACGCACTACCATGTGGAGAATATAGAGTCTTTGAAAAAAGGTTATCATTCATTGCCTGATTGATTTTATTTCGACAGTTAAAGAGGGATTCATAAAATACTACCAATTCAATAAATCCACCAATGCATTGATGAGAGCTATCATAAACTTTTAGTTTTTTATAAATCCCTGTTTTTGTTGCCCAAGTAAATATCAATCAGTAAATTGTTTTATAACCATTGTTAGGGCCCGCTTGTTACTATATATTACGCAGCGTATGGAAATGATTAACAGGTTGTAACTGGGGCTCAGGGGAGGAACTGTTTGCTGCTATTTCCAGCAGTGACATTTGGACCGTGTGTAAGCAACGAACATTTGACAAACCACTCTGTCTTTTTGCCTTTTTCCACTGCCCTTGGCTCTATGGATAGTAACGAATAGGTCTCCCTTCATAGGACAAAATGGAGACAAAAAGCTGCTGCAATGATCCCTCCATTAGATCGCATGTCCCTGTAGATCCATTTTTTACACTTATGTCCATACATTGCATGTGTGTGTGTGTGTGTGTGGGTGTGGGTGTGGGTGCATACATCACATTAGCTTTGACAAGAGAGATGCACCTGCTATTTTGAAAAATGCTAGATAGAGTTTCAGCTGTTAAACTATGCATCCATATCTGTCGCGCTTGCCTTGTTCTACAACTGCTCAACCTCTCATCTCCATGGAGACTATATCTCACACCAACAGGCCCCTTGTAATCACTCAAGCAAAAATGTAGCTTAAGCCCAAATACAGCTATCATTTTCCGACTTATTTTCACCATTTCGTTCAAGTTGGTAAGAGTTATAGATGTAGCATTTCTCGTTCATACGTGGTCTATCTATCTCCTGTTTGTTTGGGTGTGTTTGTTAAACAGTTGGAAGGGGTCCTGTTAGGTTTTAGGCTTTTACTCCGACTCCTCTGTTATTGTGCCTCATATCGCCTGGACTGTGTTTTTCTTAAATACTGCAAATGACTTATTTTTGTTCTTGTAAAGTTAGCTATGAATCCCTATGATGTAAATAACTATGATGTCGTAAATAAATGGGTGAAGATGCTCTTCCCAAAAATAACTTTTAACTGCCTGGTAACATTTCATTTATACGCCTGTCTGAAGATGATAACAATACGACGATAAAGCAGCTTTGAGTCCTTTGTTGCCGTAAGGCGCCAACTTCATTATATGTAACACAGAGACACAGCGATACAATCAGTGAGCACAAAAACAAAAAGATTATAACTACATTTTGACAAAGGTCCACGACATTACATAATAATGTTGGACCCAGTTTGTAGTTTACTTCAGTTTTTAAAGTAAACAAATGTGCAATAATTGTCTAAGCGCTGGCCATGTCGTCTAAAATGATACAGTAACCCCTTCATGATGCGTTTCCCTACTTTAAAGTGTTTTATGTTGTACCTACCAGAGGACATGCCCAAACATATTGATGAATATAGAGTTTTATTTTTTCCTAGCAAAAGTTCTAGGGGTACGAAAATTAATTAAAAAAACAGCATTTTCAGCCGGCCAAATGTATCCCCTCCCTTTGATAGACACCTGACGGTAGTTCGTTTTTTTACATGTATTCTTTTATTTTTTAACGTATACTTTTTTATCAATTCCTGCACCGCGTTGTTGCATGATTCAAAAACACCCAAACAAGTGTAAATGGTGACTTCAGTTTAACTTTTCTTTATTTACACGGTGTTGTTGACACAAAAGATAGGGACTCTTATTTTGAAGTTCCACTCGCTCAGCCAATCAGATTGCAGCTTTATTTAACAGGAAGCGATGCTCTGAAAACAAACGCGCTGGATTCACACCCTTGCAAATAGTGAGAGTACGTTTGACGTTACAGGTATTTATGTATTTCTATTTTATTATTTATTCAGTCATTTAACATCTTACGAGGTGAGAATATCTTGTACTGTCAATAATTGCATCCCAGTATCTGAATTATTGAGTGAATATGTATGTGCAGAGTTTTATAAGCTAAGGTGTGAGTTCTCGTCTCGTGACCTGATGTAACAGGTGCTACTGTGGGGTTTTGTAATGCCTTTCCATGAACAATTAATTTGCAGGTGTTGGAAAACGAGTTCACCGATATTTTGCTCTTAGTAGTTTGGACAACCTTCACTCCAGTCATGCTGAAAGCTGTGGGACAGGCTCTGTTCTCATCCGGACTGCAGAACCCTAAATACACAGAAGGAGAGAAGAAAGAGGTAAATGTTTCCAGTTGTCATTGTGTCAAATGACAGTAAAATGTTGGACTGATGTGGATTGTTCTCTTTGAATATGTGACAAGAGATGTTAGTAAAGGTAGTGCTGAAATGTCGAAAAATACAGTTTAAAGTGACAAACCTTCAGCGAATGCACAATCTCTATGTTTCGGATAGCAGTTTATGCAGATGTAATGTGTAAAAAGTAGACTAATTTATAGTGAAAACAGTGCAATAATAATGATAAGGCTAGTGTGGATTATAAAATACACGTTGATGATAAATACATATGAACTACTACAAATGTAGGTTGAATATATCATAATAAATGAAATATTTGAGGATGTCGTTTTGTCGTGAATGATAGGTTTTTTTCAAAGTTATCTGTAGTGCTAAAGACAAGTTGATCAACAGAAAATCAGTTGGTTTTAAAACTCAATTTTATCCAGTTTAAGTGTAAACCATTTGCTGGTTCCAGATTCTCCACTGTGAGAACTTGCTGCTTTTATTTATTGCATTTAATTTAGATGAAGTCACTTTTGGACAGAGTGTGAAACAAACATGACATTTGCAGATCTAAATCTCTATTCAGTCAGGTTCTGTAATGCTGGAGGGGGAGAACAGTAATAGTATTGATGAGCGATCAACTTTTGAAACTTTATTTCTATATCATGTTTCTAAAATATGTGACATATAAACTTTTATATTAAAATATGTGGGCTCATAGTTAAAAAGTAACACATACACATTCAGTTAGTTACATAGATAAAACAATCCCTATGGAAATACAGGCAAGGTTCCTGATCAGTTCACAGAGTATGTTGTAAACTGATTATTTTACACTGGTTTCTGGTATTTTATTGATCTATTGCTAGTTGAAAAAAGGAATCAACTGATGAATTTATAACGAGTGTGTTTGCAGGGACAAGACTATGAGATCCGCACATACCTTGCCACAAACTGGGTGAGCACCACTCTGAGTGATATGGAATGGGACGCGGCCCTCAGCGCAGGCTTCCGCAAGCTCTTCAAATACATTCAAGGCAACAATCAAAACAGTGAGTTTCATCCAGTCCTAATGTTGTATAATAAATAAAGCATGTACAGCCTGATCTAAGGCTGTATACATCTTTATTTAGTCTGTCGATACTTATTCAGGGAAGTGTGGAAGTGGCTTTTCTTTGCTATTGTTAAAGAAACGTGTGTTAGATCCTTAAACCTAAAAAAAACTTGATAAAACACAATCAGTCTGGTAAATAATGTTTAAAGTGGCAGAAGGAAAGTGGAGACAAGAAAGCTGAGGAAAAAGTTCACTTTAGTGCTTGCTCAGCAGTTTCAAACCGCACCTCTGACTTTTCTGACTCAGCAGTTTACAGCAGCATTATTTATGAGAATACACATTGTGTGAACTGAGTACTGCAGTGTAGGCTGATGTGTAAACCTGCCGTTTAATCCTCTACATCTGCCACACATTGTGTTATGTTTCCACCATCTGTTCAGGTGTCTTTATGTAGTGAAATGTAGATCCTCCAGCTGGCAACTTACACATAGTTTACACATTTCGCTGAATAGAATACATTTCAAACCAATCCTCAACCAAATCGGAACATTTCTCACGTACTTTTATATCTTTTTCGCAGGCAGATGTGAGTTCTGCTTGTCTTTTATTCCCTTTTTCTAAAATGTGTTGTGATTGTGCCTTGTTTGTCAGAGGTGAAAGTGGAGATGACGGCTCCTGTGTCGTGCCGTGTTGACCCTGGAGCCGGGCCCGCTTGTGAGTCTCAGTTCACCGTGTCCTTCTACATCCCAGAGGAGCATCAGGACGCCCCCCCGCAGCCGAGCGACCCCGACGTGTTTGTGGAGCACCGGAAAGAGTTCACAGCTTATGTCAGGTAGAGTACAGCTTATGACTGATAATACATGTTTTTTCCTTGGTTGGTTATTGGCTAATGGTTAAACGAGCCAAAACATCGTTATGACATCATAAAGTGGCCAAAATCTGATCCGCTCATTTTCAGACAGATTTTTATATAAATGGTTCAGGACAAAAAGTGAGCAAATCTTTTTTCCTGAAACTTTCAGAATCTCTTAACACATCGATTTTGCATAATAGGTGACCTTTTTAAGTTTAGATAATTTGTTATTGTTTCAGGACATATGGGGGTTTCTCCAATGAGAAAATTAAGCGTGAAGAGCTTCTGAAACTTATTGAGAGCCTGAAGAGGGACGCAGTTCAATACGTCGACCATCCCTTCTACGTAGCCGGGTATGACAGTCCCTTCAAACTCACCCACCGCAGGAACGAGGTGTGGATCCTGAAGAAGGAGCAGGAATAATACGTTTAATGTTTACACTAAGCTCTGACCACTACAAGCTTTAAATAACCATATCATGGAAGAACAGAAAATACATGAGGGAAAAAATATACCTATTATGTATGTGTATGTGGAACAAAATGGAAGGTCATACTAACAAAATACTTTTTGTATATTATTATTATTATTATTATATTAATTTGTCTGATTGTGTGTTGTGCTTTATTTCCTTTGACTAAAAGTTACTGAATTGTACACTTACTGATGGTCTTGACAAAGAGTCCTAACAAATGATTACAATAGCATTTAAAAAAAAAAAAAAAAAAAAAAAAAAAAAAAAAAAAAAAACCTGGGGAAAAACTGCATGCAATAGTTAAATATTACCAGTAGGTGGTGCCAACTAGTCAGAAAACATTCCTCTCATTTGGTGCGTCTTGTCATGACAAAAACCTCAAGTGCCTCTTCATTATTTTATTACAAATTGATTTGTTATGTGGGAATTCAATTTTTGTTTTCCTAAATAGTAATATGAAAAGACTGATGAAATAAAGGGTAGGTTCACATGTTTGAAAGCAATAATTGCAACGTAATGGTTCCTCTTGTCTGTTCGAGTTGCCCAGAGAATGCTAAATGACGCGCGACTGCGAACAAATGCAATCTAAGTTGAGCCATAACCAATATGATGCTTTAATAGCCAGAGATAGTGTAATTATCTTAATTATTATATTAATCCTTTCACTCTGTAGGTCACCTACAAACTGACAGCAGGTTTTCCCTTTATCAGTCCGTGTACCTGCTGTGAAGGTGACTTGGTAAATCTGATCTCAGACTTCACTTTCTGTCACCTTATCACGCTCGTTGTGATGAGTGAGGGAGTCGGGTTAAATCTAGACCAGTCATGCTTGCAATCCTGCAGAAGGGAAACGGCATGGTACTTGATGAGGGAATGGTGACAGAAGCACTGCACTGAAGTATGAATCGTGGGAAATATGATGTTTAAGAATGTAAACATTTATGATTTCATTATTAATAAATATACCTCTGCATTAAATGATTGACTTTTCTGATATTTTGTACCTCCATCTTCACTGGAGTGTGGTGGTGTATTTGATCTGCAGGGGATACAGTGCAGGCCGTCCTCCACACACTGATCATTGAGACCTTTCATCAGCAGGGTGATGTACTCCACACTGTAAGCTTCGTCCTCTCTCACCTTCTCCTCTGGCTCTCTTGTTGGTTCATGTCTGCTGAGTCATTCTCTTTATTTGTGGCAGAAATGTTCCCAATATCATGTTCAGACACTCAGCAGATCTGACATCTTTTTTTATCCTCTGAACACACACACTATATATCTGTTATTCGCCAGTCAGATCAATCTCACCGTCCCTGCTCAGTGAGGTGAAACTATGCTACAGATAGCAAATGTATAATGGTGCTAACATTTAAACACGTGTATTTCTTTCCTGCCTGATGGAGGACTTCAGTCAGCATATATGTAAAATAATTGTCAGAGATATATTGGAGGAAAAAGGACTGGTAAATCATTTTGATGACGTTATTCCAAGCCTTGTGATCAAGCTTTTTTTTTTTTTTTTTAAATACTATGATATTGTTAAAGGGGGGAACCCTTATTTTAAAAGTTAGTTCCAGATATAAGGGGGAACCGTTATCAAAAATAATGTTTTATCTGAGGGGGGACCCTTATATTTAAAAAGAGAGTTCCGGACTTAAGGGGGACCCTTATCAAAAACTGTACTTTCTGGACTGGTGTACGGGTTGTTGGGTGGGAGAGTGGTGGGATTGAAATGGACATTTTGGTTTGTCAGCATGTGTGTATATATTGTTACTTGAATTATATCTAAAAAATATTTTTTTATCGTAGGGAGGCCCCTTATCTAAAATATGTAATGTTTATATAAGGGTGGGCCCTTATGTAAATAAAAAATGTTTTATATAAAGGGGGACCCTCATCAAAAAAGTTAACGTTATATATAACATTACATGCTTTTATCCAAAGCGACTTACATATTCAATACTGTGGGCAATCCCCACAGGAGCAATTTGTGGTGAAGTGTCTTTCCCAGGGACATAACGACATGCTGACTGCAGTGGGGTTTGAACCTGTGACCCCCTGATCCGAACACCAACGCACTACCCACTGCACCACAACACGCCTCCCTATAATAGGGGGGACCCTTATCTTAAAAGTAAGTGCTTAGGGGACCCTTATCTAAACAAATATTTCCTGACTCAACGGGAGACCCTCATCAAAAAAGTGAAATTTTCATAATGGGGGGACCCTTATATATATTTGGACAGGGAGGGATTTGTATTGATTTCGGTCTGACGGCCAGATGGACACGGCATCAGAGAGCAGATGACACTGCTGAATTGGAGGTGGAGGGACTTCATTATAAATACTGAGGGGCGGTCATTGTTTCTGTGCCCTTGGGAAGGGATCCACGACATATTACTGGTCTGGGAATGAGGTGTGAGTCGTGGGCAGTCAGACAGTCACTCTGCAGTCACTGGATAGCTCTATTATGGGTCAAGCCTGTGAATGAGTGTGTGTCCTAATAGGATGTCCAGAAGGAGACATAACTGATAACCTTTGGGTGGGGGGGAGTGGGCCCCGTGGGGCTTGACGGACGAGTGTGGGTGTCATGGCAACGGCACTAATGAGACTGTGATTTGCGTTTTGGCAGATGGCTCACACACACTTATAGAAAAAAATGACAGAAACCATGTCTTTAAATATCACTTTGTTTTTATTACACAGACATACACATGAGCTTCAGCAGCTCCGCCCCCAGTACTTTTTCTGTCGTGTCTTTTCACAAGCTGCCTGCGATTGAGACGCTTTCCTGTCCTGAGACAAAGCTCGGAGCCCCAAGTGCTCAATCATAGCCGAGCGGGGTCTCAGAGACACACTTTGGTCACAGGTGATTACCCACGGGGTGTTATGGCTGTTAGGAGGTTAGGAAGTCTCACGCCTGTCTCCTCACTTTATGACTCCATAGAGACCACATTTACTCAGCTGAGAGCACCAGTGCTGGCTTTGCATGGCTAAGGATTAAGGGCAGCTGAAGGATTTAGCACAAATATTGACATGATTGCATTTTTGTTGTTATATGAAGGAAACAGCCAGGAGGGATCAGCGTAGTAAATGTGGCCTCCCCATCACCTCTCTGGTTAACTCAGATCGCGACACCTTTGCAGCCCTGCTATGTGAACATAAATAATCTACAAATAGGAAACCACTCCCTTTCAGCAAACGCTGGGCTCTAAAAAATGTACAGTCTTTGAAAATAAGTCAAAATGTTACTTAAAAGTCCTCTATGTATTTACATACAGAATCATATAAAACTGCAAAAAGATAAACTGAGCAGAAATGTTAACATCATTATAGAAATCATTCGAGCCCTAAAAAGCTTCTAGTAGGTCGCAGCAAACTTAGCGACGACTCGACCGCAACGCGTGGTGTTAGAGAAGCCAAACTCAGATTGTGTTCACTTCCAGATTATTTTTCAGCTCTTTGGTAACAAACATGGACACTAAAAGACCCCGACAGTAACATAAGCTTCTCTTTTAATGTCATCCCCTCTTTACATGTATAGATTCATACTGAACTCCCAAACACAAGTCATGACATCACTTGTTTATTAAAATGTTTTTAAAGTCACAAAGAAAAGGACCTCTGAACAATGCAAAATCTATGAACTAAAATGTTATGAGCGTTTTTAGAACAAATGTTCTGTTTTGGTGTCTTTAAAACTTCACAGTTTTTGACTTCCTGGCCATCACTAGGTGAAGCTCTGAGCCCTCTGCACTTTCTACGGACCACTGAACACACCAGCTCTGCAAACTACAGCTCTGACCTAAGAACAAGAAGCAAAACCTGGCCATAACCACAGCTTAAGAGGTACCGTGGTGCTCTCTGTCGTACCACTTCCTCTCGTTCTTTCCACAATGTTATGGGCTGTTTGAAGCCAACACTTGCACAACGGGGTGCATTCAAACACTTTCCAGAGCCAACAGAAGAGAAGCAGAAGCTGAGGAGGTTCACAAGTCGAGCGTCTACATCCCACTCTTTCCAATTGCCAAGCTACGTAGCACCACAGCAGCAAAGTTACTTTTCAATTCCTTCACTTCATCTTAGTTTACCACCCCAACCTTGTTCTTCAAAGAAACGTAAAAGGTCCTGCGTGTTAGGGACATGATACAGTAAAAGAAAACAGCAAAACAAATGGAAAACATACTTAAAACACCAGGTGTAAAAGAAACACTTTTCTTTCAACACAAATGTGAAACGAAGGACAGAGTGAGAATCCATGAAAAGCTGCAGCACAACCAGTCCACTTCAGATCAAGTTCAGCTCTGTCCATGACGGGGTGACCTCTGACCTCACATCAGCACCCGACGCCCACCCCTTCGGGCTTTGAGGGGGAGTGGCACAGGAAGTTCTCTCCAGAGGGCCAACTATTGGCTCCTCCTCCTGCCTGCTACCTGGTTATGATGATCGAGTTTAGCTCCCTGTATCTAAGGGGCGCTCCTTGCTCTTTAACTTCTGCTCTCTCCAGATAAAGTGCCATTGGAGTTATTGAGTACAGCCCGGGTCTGAGCCGAGGGTCCGGACAGACTTTCTGCAGGGTCTCCGTACTCGCTCTCAGCCAGCTCCCCCTCCCGCTCACAGATGACTGTCATTGGGCTGCTGAGCATTCGGTTGCGGGCGTTGTACTTGCTGCTGGCGGCAGAAGGCGGCGTGCGGGAGCGCCCGTACTTGAACCCGCTCATTGAATAGGTCGATGCCGTCGGCGAGGACAGGGAGAACGCGTCGTAGCGGCTCCACTCATCTGTTGCCCTCTTCCCGCGGCCTGGGGAGCTGCAGGGGCTGTTTGGGGACCCCAGTGACGAGGGAGAAGCAGCAGGAGAGTCCAACGCTGACTCGGAGTATGTTCGCTGGGTGCGAGGGCCGGTGGAGCGAAGCATCTCCGTGGCCGACATCCTGAAGCTGCTCTCTGAGCGGCTGCCCTTCTTCAGGAGGAGGGCCTTGAAGGTGTCGCTGCTGGTGGAGGACTTGCGGAGGTTGCGCTGGATGGAGCCTGTCTGGCGGGGCAAGGAGGACGTCGAGCCCGGGGACATCATGGCCGGGGACGCCATGACCGGGGACGCCATGCCCGGGGACGCCATGCCCGGGGACGCCATGCCCGGGGACGCCATGACCGGGGACGCCATGCCCGGGGACGCCATGCCCGGGGACGCCATGCCCGGGGACGCCATGACTGGGGACGCCATGCCCGGGGACGCCATGACCGGGGACGCCATGCCAGGGGACACCATGCCCGGGGACGGGGACCCCATCACTGGGGAGCCCCCAGTTGGGGTGGCCGGTGGAGACTGGGGTTGGCTCCCAGCCCGGGACTTGTCCTCCTCCGTCTCCTTGCGTCCCAGGACCTTCCGCTTCGACCTAGGATAAGATGAAAATCTAATTATGGACACGTTTTTACAAATGTGGCTTGGTGAGCGAGTGACTGCAAGGATGGTTATTGAATTGATATAGTTAAATCATTTAAGGGCAAACTAATTGTTGAACTGATGAAAGAGCAGAGAAGAAATGCAAGAGTTAGGGGCAGTTTGTCAGGAAGCAATCATCAGATCCAATTATTCACATTCAAATGAGGCTGCAGCGTATGGGATTTCATATAACAACTGAGCAGGAAGCAGCCTGCTCAGCCCAGTTGGGTCATTGTTTCTGTGTAGATGTTCCAAAGAAAAAAAGATTTAACTTAAAACACTTGGCCTACGCGCCGCAATCTTTGTCCCATATGTCAGCACTGCCCCCAGCCATTATGCGTCACAGCACACATCTTAAAGAGGTAAAAACAATAAGCATTGAGTGGCGTGGATGCTCCAAAAAAGAAAAGGAGGTCATAAGAAAAAGAGTTATGCATTTTGGATAAAGAGATTTTAGAAGAAAAGCTGCAGACGCTGCAGCTCTGCAGAAAAGCTCAGACGCATTGAAATGAATCAAACACACAAACTGGGAAAGGTGCCCAAAGCAGTTTTAATCACAGTGACAATCCCGCCTCCTCTTAACAGGGGGTATCAGAGTGGTTGACTGCACCACTCACTCAGCCTACACCGGCTGGAACTCCTGCGCAAGAGCATAGCCATAAAGCGGCAACTGGCCGAATACAGGGGGGGGGGGGGTTAGGGCTAGCAGGGAAACAGCGTTAATAATCTGAGGTCCAGGGGGCTGCACTGTGGGGTCTCTGTTGCTAATCCAGAGGTAGCACCACTGCGGTGGTTTGGGAAGGGGCTACTTGCCACTTCGCACCTCTCTAGAAAGGAGGAACCCACCCTCTGCATGCCCCCTCTGCACAGGGAGGGAGAGAGGAGAGGGGAGACAGAGATACATGCATGAATACAGATTCTGTGAGAGCGATTTGATGCTAAAAGTCAGGAGCAGTGGGAGAACAAATCTTTAATCCTCAGAAAGAAATGGTTACATGAAGGACAACAAACGTGTAGAGAATATACTCGTGAAGGTCAAACGAGAGGGTATGAATGGTTTGTGAGAAAATCCAAGACTGCTTTGTCGTTTAGAAAACACTGCAAAGTATGTGTCTGCCCTTCAACCTCCGTCTAGCGCTGTCCCGTGAGCTCACATTAGCCCATCAGCATTACATAAGACCGTCTCACACACACACGCACACGCTAACACACCTGGACTCAAGTCACACGACAGCTCCATACTGAACTCATGGTTTGTGAAGACAAAATATAAGGCCACACAGGAGAGGAGGTTATACCGATCCCCGTTATAGAGAAGTAAACAAGGCTGCAATTTAAGACCCGTCTCCGAGAGCTCCATCGATTTCCTTCTCCCGGCCGTATTACATTTGCTTTGGAGGATTTCCCTCCAGACAGGTTGTATTTTATGGCTGCTGCTGTAAAGGCATTTCATTCAGGGTTTTCATCATTCTAGGTTTTCCCAGAGCGAGGGGGCAACATGGAGGGGGAATGAGAGGGGGAACGAGAGGGGGAACGAAAGTATTGGACAGGTAAGAGGGGGAGAGGAAATGTGTCGAACATTTACTGAGATAAATGTTATAAAACATAAAGTATATCAAATTGAAGCTGATCATTCTGACGTATATTCTATTCATTATTCAATTGAAATGTCTCAAATTGATTATAATTCAATGAAAGATATCATGTAAATAGGTACGTTTAGTTCTTCTCCAGTCATCACTACCCTGCATATAAACAATCTGTCAAATGGTTCGATATGCTCCACACTAGACAAAGTCCCACTGTTAGGTTTACCCACACATGCTTACACAATACTGCCATCCAATTCAAGTGCACAATAAATCGCACTTGTACACGTGACGTGTGCACCATAAATACATCGGCAATCTGTCGCCAGCTGAAATAAAACCCTGTGAAAATGAAATCCCGTGATGCTCAAGAGAACCCCGACTGCCGCTGCACGTGAGCGTGAAACACACAAACTGGCGGGCTGCATGAGAAATGTATGCCCTTTGAAGCACGTATGCAATATATGTCAGTGAGTAGCGTGTCGAAGAAGAACAAAAAGAGAGAGAGGGAGAAAGACAAATCTCTCCCGTGGCCTCTAACCTAGATTAGGACCCGAGGGTGTCGAGTAGATAAATAATGGATAAAGCACCCGCCTTTTCTCTCTTGCTGAGAACGAGCAACGCAAATGTGACTTCGCTAACGCAGATATGACTGGTACCGACTTGTGTGGCTTCATCGCATCGTTTCCATGACCAGAAACAAGAAAAGCCACTCAGGACTTGAAGACCCCCAGAGAGCGGCTGTTTGACAGATATGGATGCTTCCAGACGGGACAGCGCTGAGTAAAGTTATGACTGAGAGGTGGAGGGCAGAGGAAGAGGAGGAGGGGGGGGGGGGATGGAGATGGAAGAAGACATATCATGGGTCGAAGGGGGAGAAGGAGCCAAGGTGATATACTGTGGTTTATGAGAAAGAGGGAATGAGATGCGGACAGAGAAAGAGGGGGAAGGAGACACAATGACAACATACTAGAGGGGGGGGGAAAACACTAGCTCAGTGGAATCAATTATACATCAGGAGTTGAAGCCGGTCCAGAGGGAAGAAGTTGGAGTGTGTAAAGAAGTGACACAAAATAAGAAGCATCATTGTACCTGTGAATGGCGGCAAAAAGGTCCTCGGTGGTCCGGGGCCGGGTGGGAGTCGGGGTCACCATTTTCTCCTCAGAGGCCCCGTTGGCGGGCGGGACCGGAGACGATTCAGCCGTGCTGGAGAAGAACACCTCACCTGAGAGAGAGAGAGACATCCAAGTTACACACACACACACACACACACACACACTAACAAGAGTGAACTCAACACACTTTCCTCAACACCGTCCCGTGGCATTAACCTGGCTGTCTGTGAGATGCATGGAGGAGGTGCTGGACTGTCTTCTTACATTCTCTTTCAGTCTCCAGATTCCCTCCCTCTTCCTCTCCTCCTCCTCCTCCTCCTCCCCCGCCTGCGCTCCGACTGCCTGAGCCGCTGCAGGCAGTCTCACTTTACGCTCCCCACCCCCCCTCCCTCCCTACCGTCACTAGATCCGTTCCCCTCCCCTCTGTTACGATTGGAGCTCCTCCCCCCTCTGCCTACCACCATGAAAAGCATCCTGTTCTGGACACTTGCCCGCCCCCCCCCCCCTCCCTTACCTCAGAAAGAAGAGGGGATGGATAGTGAGCAGGACAGAAAGAGAGTAGGGGACTGAGATTAAGAGTAAAGGAGAGGAAAAGGCAAACAAACAGTGGAGGATGGGGTGTGTGTGTGTTGGGGGGGGGCAATGCAGGGAAAAGGAAGGGACAGTAACCACAAGAGATCTCTGCATATGAAATGTAGCAGGGAGAGTCAGAGAGGAGCCTGTCCCACTGATAAGCCTGAGCTATTTTCACAGTTTTTAAAAAGCTTGAGGTTTCAAGTTTGGATGGTTTGCTTCGGAGGGCAACATTCATTTCACAGCCGCCTGAAGAGCTGGCAGGCAGCGGCTTCACTACTAACCATTTAGGATTATGGAAATGAGCTGAACCAACAATTCATTGAAGTAGACTCCATTTCAAATGAGTGGGGGTTTTTAAAAAAAATCAAAAAGTCAAATGGTGTCTGTGAAACTCACCTGTGTCGTCCTCCTTGGAGCTGACGGATCCAGTCGTGCTACTTGTTCCATCTCCCTCCTCCTCGTCCTCGTCCTCTTCATGAGCCGCTCCATTGGTATACACTGCGTGGTCGGGACTTGATTGGCCGGCAGCAGCAGGTGTGCGCTCCTCCTGGGTTATTGTGGGAGATGTTTCACGGCTCTTAGCTTGAACCTCGGAGATCTCCGAAGTGTCCTCTTCCGCCTGTTGCTCACTTTTGATATCTTCTTTCATTTGTCTTCGCAGCGCATCCACTTGGTCTTCTGTCTGTAACGGGCCGGTTGGACCCTCATGCTGAGATGGAATCTGTTCAATGATTTGTTGGGGGCTAAATTGGTGGAGAAAAGACATGTTGGGTTTCTTGGAGACTACTGGGGGCTTCTGTTTGACAGGGGAGCTTTCAGGGCTCTGTGGGGGGCTTGGCAATACATTCTGTTCTTCTGCTTTTTCTCTTCTGTGTAAAACAAAGTCACTCTGATCCTCAGATCTCCCATTTACGACCGCACTATCTGTCGTGTCGTCTGTGATACTGAAGTCAAAAGGGAAGTCTTCTAAGAGCTTTGAGACAGGGGATGGTGAGGAGTTACGAGAGTCGTCGTCTTCTAGGGAGCCGTTTGACAGGTGTATCATAGTGGGATGCTCCAGAGACTGAGACTTCTGTAGGGGCTTGAGACCCTGAAGGAGGTCCGGCCCCGTTCCCTGAGCTTTGGTGTGGCCTGACGTGCCGTTAATCTCCTTCTCTGGCCGCCTGACAGAGCGGAGCTGAACGCTCTGCAGCGCAAACGGGGTGATCAGGGGATTAGGTGACTTTGTAGGGCTGTTGGAGAGAGCTGCTTTAGGAGCATCCTTCACTGCCTTAGCAAAGCCTGGGGAGGAGAACGATGGGACACAAGCAGGCAATGGAGGAGGAGGAGGTGGAGGGGGCCCCATAGGGGGGATAGGCGGGGGAGGTGGAGGGGGAGGGCTGAAGCTCCCATTGAAGGATGAACTGGAGGGGAATAGTGTATCAGGGGATGGAGGAGGAGGGAAATCTGGGGAGGTGGAGCAAGCAGGGGGTGGGCTCTGTGTTTGACCCTGGGGAGTGGTTGGCAACGGGGGAGATGGAGGAGGAGGAGGGCCTGCGATGGAGCTTGGCGGTAGAGGGGGAGGAAAGGCTGGAGGTGGGCTCAGAGGGGTGGTGGGAGCTGAGGAGGAGAGGAGTGGCAAGGGTGGAGGTGGTGGGGGAGGAGGTCCGAAGCTTTTGATAGAGTCGGAGGTGTTGGAGGACAGGGAGGTGGAAGAGGAGGACATGGACACAGAGGAGAGGAGAGAGGACTTCCTCTCGGGCACCCGGGGCCTGGGCCGGGTCCCCGATGGAGACATGGACCTGACGAACGAGGGGACGGGGGTCCCAGCTGTGGGGGTGTTGGACTGGCTGGAGTAGCCGCTGGACGGCGAGGTCAGTCTGTGCACCCGGTCCGGGGAGGAGGTGGACATTTTGGGCTTGGCTGCCACGCCTCCCTCCTGCCCTGGAGCTCCAGGCGCCTGGCTGCTGTTGAGGATCTCACCTCCATTGTGTAACTCTCCGGGGTGAGCCTCGGCCGACATGTTGTTTGCGCCATGAGCCTGAGGGGAGTGGGCCCTCTGGTCTCCTTGGTTACGCGGGTAGTCCATGTAGTAGCCCCAGGAATCAGCATAGTCTGAGCGCAAGCTGCTGGTGTCGCTTTGAGCAGGCGTCACATGGCAGAGCGAATACACGCTAGACACGCCGCCACAGTTGGCATTAGCTACAAGTGACGCTGCGGAGCTACATGCACTGGTGCTACTCTGACTGCGTGGCCGAAGCACCCAAGGGTCATCGTAGTCGCTGCATGGGCTGTGAGAGGGCGAGGAAGGTGAAGCCCCTATCCCCTTCCCCCCTCTCAGCCCCATCTGCAGGCTCTGCTGCAAGCTGGCAATTAGAGTCTCATTGAGCATGGCTCCGTTTGAATCCTTAGCACCGCTGATGGCGCTTACGCCTCCGAGGGGCTTTTTCACAGAGGTCTTACGTCTGAGAGAGTCTGTGCGTGCTGGAGGCAGCGGAGGCTTCTTGGGCTTGCGGAGTGAGATGCTCCGTGACAGCGAGCGATCACTGTACAAGCTTCCAGTGTCTTCCTGATTGGCCATCTCCCGGCACTCGTACATGCTGTGCCTGGTGGCCCGTGCAGGCGCCGCTCCGTGCCCACTGCCATGGCTGCGAGAGCGCAGGCCTGAGTCCATGTGCATGGAGGTGTAGTATCCGTCATTGTCTTGGGAATAGAGGGAGCTGGAGTCAGTAGTAGTCCTGGAGGAGTGGTCCAGGCTGCCGTACAGCTGGTTTATGGGAGTGGAGCAGCTGGAGGTCAAGGTGCGGTGTGGAATCACCATGTTTTCTGGCGTGTCGTAGATCCACTGTTCCTCGGGCAGTCCGGAGGGCGGCGTGGGCGCCAAGGTGCTGCGGCTGTGTATACTGCTGTCAGAGTGCCCCAAGTCGCTGGCAGGTGCTGCGACCACCAGACCGCCATCCCTTGGTGGGTGAGTGGGGGTCGAGGTGGCCAAGGCTGGGCAGGTGGAACTGTGGGTAAAAGATGTTGGGCTGGGGCTCATGGGGTCTGTGTTGGTGGAGGCCAGACTGAGCGGACGAGCTGTGGGGTAAGATGAGGAAGGGGAGGGACCAGAGGTGTTGAGCATAATGACCTCAGAGGAGCTGGACATTGTGGCGTTGGGGAGGAGGGAGGTGGAATAGGCAGCATGTGGGGAGACCACACATGCCGGGCCACCCCCCCAATCACTGGCTTTCGCCCCCCTCAGCTCCTGAGACTTGGGCCGGGGAAGGGTGGCTGTCCTTGGGGCATTTCTCATGTGCACCACTGTGTCGTCAACCCGCAGCCTCCCAATCTGCCTCTGAGGCGTAGTTTGCTCCTCTGACTTGATGGGGGTGCTGCTATAGATGGGGTCAGCACTGAGAGACACTCTGGCCCCCGGTCGAGGCAGACTGTGAAAACGGGAAAGATCTCTGTTGTACTGCGGCAGCATCATGATCCCCGAGCTGTCACTGCTCGAGATGGATATACTTCCTGTTGAGGAGGAAGCAGAAATGCCGGCCATTTGAGCCGCGATCCCCTGTCCTCTCTGAGCCCGGATCCTCCTCATGGACGGGGGCACAACCTTCACGTTTTCTGTCTGGCAGCCGGAGTCTCTGGTGATCGAATGGCGGAGCGTGGAGTTGACGCTCCCAACTCTGCCCAAGGTGGAGTACTGTCCCGGGATGAACATGGAATGCGGTCGGAGATCTCCTTTTGCTGTTGTCAAAGGGAGGAGGAAAATAAAACATGTTATTGATCAACATACCTTGTTTTCTCTTCGCGCACCACTAAGCATATCGCCCCTCTTAAAACTTCAGCCACAATGCTTCTGCTCTTCTGCCTGGACAGCTAAACTGTGGTCACATGGAGGCTAATTAATTTGATTTGCTGTAACCGTCACATGCGTTAATAACTCCTGGTCTTCTTCGTTAAGGAGGAAAGGGTATGAGGGGAGACAGAAAGACTCCTTACTAAGCTCCCTCTCCTAGTCTGGCTCAGTCCGACAGAAAAGCGAATTATACCCTGGGGTCCAGGACAGGCAGCTGTTTAGGTGCGAGGCAGCCAACTAATGCATACATGGACACGGACATACACAGTGTTGACATGGTCATGCACTGACACAGGACAGAGCATACAGCATTTGCAGATAGACATTGAGACAAGGACACACAGAAATGCAGATATCACAAAGACACACACACCGAACATACCGGCTTGTAAACAAACAATTTGAAGAATGAGTTGTAAAACGGGAGATGATGTCTATTGTGTCTCCCATCTGTGGTGCCTCTCCTGTTGATGCTCGTATTCCAAAACATACACACACATTCTTGCGTCCTCTTTTCTCGCTCTCTCTCTCTCTCTGAACCACACATACACTCTCTTCCTCCTTTGCTAAAAGCTGGAGTGACAGCTTGGCTGCTGCTGCTGCTGCTGCTGCTGCGATAGATTAAGCTGCAGGTCTACTTTCGCAGGCAGCTCTTGTACAAGGAGAGGGAGGGATGAAGCACTGGGACAATTACCCCGGCCCAGTAATCATGACATTCAGAGGCTGTCGTCAGCTGGTCAACTAACCAGATTCTAAAAGCTCCTTTACTATCAGCCTTGGTGATGTTATCGCGAAGAGAAATGACAATTCTCCTTACACATGTCTGCTGTCCTACAGATCAGAGATGTGTAAATAAACATCAGCCAGCACAGCAGTGTCAGCTTAGTAAGCTTAGCGCACGCTTAACACCCCTCTCAGCTGTGTGACTAAGGAAAGGAGTCTACTGGAGCTTCATATTTGTTATTTAACCCTCATCTGTTTGGAGCGCTTGAGGGTTATATGTTCTGAAAAATGACGAGGGTTGGGGGGGGGGGGGCGGTTTTCCTTGATCAGGGTCTCATAATCAGTACATGTTGGTAAGTATAAAAACACATGGGACACATGCTAGATTATCAATATAGCCCCAGGATTAAGGCACAGAGACACAATTTACAGACACAATTCACAGAAGCAGCACAGCCGATAGTTAAGCTGAACGATTATAGCACAATATATATATAACTGACTTATCTGACATGAGAAAAACGTCTAAAATGAGATTAAATAAGTGCAAATGTAAGGACAAAAAAGGGGGGAAGAAATACAAGTGAAAAGAATGTCATAATGGGTCCCTGGCTGTGGATACAGTTCAAAAAGGTGGAGGAGAGCAAATGAGGACACTCTGTATGAAGAACTGAAACAGCTGAACATCTGCAGGGCCCCGATCCAACACTTTGGACTTGCATGTGACATTTTCTCCCTCCACTTCTCAGAAAATACTGGTGGTGGGGTGAGTTCATTCTCCACTTAATGTTTAAAGTGAATGGATTAGGCAAAAATGCATAGTGAGTAAGGTTATAGTAAGTAGTGAAAGAAGGAGGGATGCTTTGTCCAGAGTGTTGGTACAGGTCTGTGGACAGTACAGGGCAACATATTTCCCCACAGTGATCCATACCTAGCTCATGGTTGAAGTTGTCAGGCAGCCCTGATATAGTCTTTCTGCGTTTGACCTTCTTGGGCCGGCGGGACACGGTGTCCGAGTTAATGAGGGAGCGTCGGACGGTGGCCTGCCGGTCAAACACGGCCCCTGGTAGCCGGGAGGGCGAGAACAACGCAGGCGGACACACAGGCAAAGAGCAGTCGGTTAGTTGAAAGGCACAAACTCAACAACATGCAGAACGTTTTTTGTGTTTTTCAGTTTTAACATGCAGCAGGAAGAGAGACCTTAATTGTCAGTTTAACCAAATGTAACAAAACAGTTCCCTTCAGTGGTATCTAACTAGGCATATCGTTTTGTCTTTCTTTGCCCAAGTTTGAGTTTTGTAAGGACTAATATGTAGTTTCACAGACAACTATTGCCACAAATCAAATTCCATTCTAATAGGCTAACCAATTCTGGGCAAATACCACATTAAAAATTCTGTATTGTATTATAAAGTAAAAAAATAAAATAAAAATAAATAGTTTGACTATTATTAGGGTGAGCTGACCCCTTAACTCTTTTTCAGGGATGCAAACTCATCAGGTATGAAAAAGGTGACAAGGATCCGAGCCCCCCGACCCCACGGAATATCGGCTTTCAAATGAGGAATAACAGGATTTTAGCAGTCAGAACAACTAAAGCAGTTAATAACAGAAACGCCAAAGAGTCACATCTAATAGAAATGTATAAAAGCATTTATTTTAATTGTGTAGCAGTCAGTTTATAATGTTGGCAGCACTGTTGAGCATTTTGAAAATGTATTTTCATGCCTCTGTTCAAGGCTTAGTCTTTCTATCTTTATAGCCACTGGTGTAAAGTAACTAAGTTCATAAACTCAACAAGTACTATACTTGGGTACAATTTTGAGATACTTGTACTTTATTTAAGTATTTCAATGTTTTGCTACTTTGTTCTTCTACTCCACTACATGGTGTACTTTTCCTCCACTACATGTATTTAATACCTGTAGTTACTTCACAGATGTGGATGAATGATGTGAAATATAATCAAGTCTTAAATCAGACTTTAGTTCCACCTGGAGTAAATTCACAAGCTACCCTGCAGTATACAAAGTCATTCAAACTAGCTGCACCTTTACCAGCTTTGAGAACACTTTCATGATCAATCATTATAAAACATATCATATATATTATTCTGAAATGGACCAATCTGCACAATGACTACTTTTTACTGTCGCTACTTTCACTATATTTTGATGAGAATACTGAGAAAGAGAGACTTTCACTTGAGGAACATTTTGAATGCAGGACTTTTACTGAAACAGAGTATTCCTACACTCTGGTACTTCTACTTTTACTCAAGTACAAGACCTGAGTACTTATACTTTTACTGAAGTATAAGACCTGAGTACTTCTACTTTTACTCAAGTACAAGATCTGAGTACTTCTACTTTTACTCTAGTACAAGATCTGAGTACTTCTACTTTTAATCAAGTACAAGATCTGAGTACTTCTACTTTTACTCAAGTACAAGATCTGAGTACGATCTACTTTTAGTAAAAGTAGAAGTCTATTATACGGCTCTGCCCCCCCCCATACCCCAAAAATATTTTTATTGCAGATCTACATGAATCACACAAACGACCTATTTTGGATTCAAAACGGCGAATTTCGCCGAAAGGTGACAAGTTTGCATCCCTGCTTTTTCCACCAGCCAAATATAATGGCCATTAATGGAAACACTGGCTGGCAAAAATAAAACATACACGTTTAATCTGAAGGTTTCTGATAATTCCCAACTGAGGTGTTAACATATATGTGAGAAATGTGAGATGTAAAATACATGCTCTTATCACAAAAATACACATGCACAGAACAGATATGAGTAGGAGCATGCACGCACACACATTCATCCTTCTCACTTTCAACCCATCCTCCCTGAAGGAAGAGTAACATTTTACAAGGAGCTGCTCTTCCTTCTGCTATTTGGCTAGCTGGTGACAGCCAGCAGGCGTTAGGGAAATAGAAATTGATATGAGGGGCAGATAGTGTCTATCACATTCCTCCTCAAAGTGACAGAAAAATCCCTGATCTCTCTCTGTGTGTCAGTATGTGTGTGTTTCCTCTCTCTTTCTGAGTAATGTAAAGTGACAGGAGATGAAGTGCTTTATGTGGAGTGGGACCACATTAAGCAGTCATTAGTGTCTGAAGGACGACAGGATTGCAGCTGTATTCCCTTTGACAACACTTCAAATGTAGAGTTTGATACTGAACTGCGTTTGAGGTGATGCTCATCTGTTTATATGTCATACAAAAAGTCTTCGTGAAGCATCAGACAAGCTTCAGTGTATTCTTAATGACCAGAACTGGCAGAATGAGACGTTATTTCTTTGTGTGTGTGGTCGATAGCGCAGAAAATGGTGACATGATAACAGGGGTATTGCATCGCCACGTTTTCGCTGTGTTCATCTGTCAAACGCCCTGTGATCTGACATCAAGTCAGTGACAAGCCTTGACCCTTGGAGGAGCACACAAACACTCGCTCACACGCGCATAAAGGAAGGTGAAGGTCAGTCTGCATGAAGCATGATGGAAGGAGAGAATATACACGGAGGTGCAGGAGGAGAGGCAGACATCCATGACTGACACATACAGGTTTTTCCTCTGTGGATGCATGGATACAGTAATTGATCAGTCTATAATCCACTCATCCACAGAGGGTTAATTAAAGGAACAGTCTGACATTTTGCCTGTTTGGCTCATTCCATGTTGCTGCCTTACTGAGATTTAGATGAGAAGGCCAGTCAAATCAGAAGATTTAATATGTTAATATGGCAGTTTTGAGATTATTAAAAACTGTATTTCAATAAACATGATAGCTGGTTTATATTATCGCGCCACCACCAGGTCATCATTTGTATTTGTCCAATACTCTGACATAAAAACGACTGACATTTCCCATCTACCTCAGCTGCTGTGTATATAGGTTGCAGCTAACTGTATTCTAGGCTTTGACCTTGTAATCTCATTTAAAGCCAACAAAAGACATTCAAATAATGTTGAGATTTTCATCAAAGTCTCTGTGATTTAAAATGTTTTAAAAAGTCAGAAAGTTCCTTGATGACAAACTAAACACAATGTATGATGGGAGGTGCGGGGTTAATGTTACTGAATAGACACCAGGGGATGATTGAGACCAGATCTAGCAGTTGAATCTTTCTACGTTGCTTTTTTGTATGAAACTAGAGGATCAGGAGATTTGTTTTCCACTACAAACACTGATGAGAGTGGTCGCTACTCGCTACTGATTGAGAGATGGGAAAAGAATGGTTATGTGACAGAGGTTTGCGAAGAGGTCATACCTGTGACGTTGATAGCAACGATGTCTGTGGCTACGGCCTGAGCCGCCAGCCTCATCTTCTGCTCCGGGGTGGGGAGGGGTGCGCCCTTGTTCCATACAATCTTTCCGTCAACCTCGTACCCCTCCTCTCCCTCAACGCCTTCCTGGGGGGTCTGGGGCCTCATGGACAGCTGAGATTTGTCGTCCTCCGCTGATGATGCTGTGGACTGAAGACAGAAAAAGAATGGGTTAACAAGATGTATAACTTGAAGAGGAGCAAGGAGATAGAGAAAGGGATTGAAAAGAGAGATAGAAACAGGAAGAGAGGGAATGTACAGAAGAGTATGGAAAAAAGGAAATTCACAGGAAAAGAGATGAAAGACATTGGAAAACAAATCATTTGTGATATTAAATTAAAACCAAACACAATTAGAGTGAGAAAACAATATTATAGAATGGAGTATGTGGCAGACTGTACAGACTATATTGACACGTATGAACACACTTCAACATATTACAATAGCTGTGACCTTTAAGGTCCTTACACACCAAACTGACACCAAAGAACACGCCCCGACGGAACGTCGCCTCACGTCTCCTGCGTCTTGGCCATGTTTCGCACTGGAACACACCGCAAAGACTTCAGCCGACGGCCAAGTAGCACGTACGAACTGCGCATGCGTGAGTGGCAATAACTCTCCTTACCAGCAGGCGTCGGTAGAGTGTATTCGTCATTCAAAAGAGGCAACAACCGGAAGACAGACTGCGTGATACACCGAGAGAAGAAGAACAGACTGCGTGATATAAACAAACAACAAATAGCGTGTGCGTTCCATTTTCACTCTACAGCGAGAAGCTCATGGGGCTTTCCCGAACCTGTGTCGAGAGCCGGAGTTAAATGAAATCTCAGATTTGCCTTCTTAATAGTTTGTTTGGGTCCCTCACTTCCGTTTCGCTTCTCATGCACTGATTCGCTAAGCTGAACAGCCAATCAGAGTGATTTATTTGGCCGACGGCCTTTAGCCGACAGCCTCCTGATTCAACATGTTGAATTGGCGGCGGAAGGTGTCTGCACGGCCGAAAAGACACGACGGTGTGGGACACACCAAGACACACCAATCTGAGTAGGGCGACACGACGCTCATCGACGGCCCGACATCTATCGACGGACAAAATCGGCTTGGTGTGTAAGGGACTTTAGATGCTTGTGTTGTATGCTGTAAACATGTTTCACAAACAATCAAACCCACATGGAAACACACACACATTAACACACTTTCGCACACAGACACATCTTTCAGAGTTAACCTGACAGACAATTTAAAGATGGCAAGATAAAAGCAGAGCAACCGTGCGGAAAAAGAGAGAGAATCACTCATGCATTAAACTGTGTCTCACACACTAACAGCCCTCCATCTGAAGCAGAATTGACTGCCGAGAAGCAAACAGACAACTACAGTTTACTGCGCCATTCACGCTTGAAATTGAGCAGTTAGTCAACAGTAAACTAGCTTTTTACAGTTTGCTGTCAGTGTCCATTTGAGGTTTTGAAATCATTGTTTTGAATCATGAGTAAAGACAGGTTAAGATTTCAAAAGCCAGTAGACACAAAAAGCAAAGCGAACTTATTTGGACTTCACTACCTAACATTTTCCCGACTGTATCTGGAACAGGTTGAGCTTTCAGTGTGTTTTGTTCGTCAGAGTTTGAAAGTTACTGGTAAAAAAATGCTCAGAATCTCCAAATACATCCAGAGATAAATCCCTATGTCCATTACAGTTCATCCTGACAGTCCCAAGCATTCAAAAGAAAGGTCGGCTATTTGTGCTTTCATACAAACCATGCATGGATGGATGGATAAATAAATAAATAGGGGAGTGGAACAAGAGGAGGCAGAAAAGGGGGAGGGTATAAAGAAAGGATCTCAGCAATAGTTTGGTAGCTTGTTATTTTTGCTTTGTGGCTCAACCTGCGGTCCTGTTTCTCCCTCTGAAGCTGCTGTCAGGCAAAGTTAGGCTCACTTTCCCCAGGACAACAGGAAGTGAATGGAAGAGGGACAAACAGCGGAAAGTAGAAAGACAGATAACGAGAGATGGAAGTGGACAGTTTAGAAAGACAACAGCATATTATGAAGGTCAAGGGGCAAGCATGAAGAGAGCGGCTAACAACGAGGGGCTCTGGGGAACAAAGGAGACCCTGATCATAACAGTGAAACCCCCTGTGATCCTCTCAGGACCCCTCATATCACATTGTGTGTGAGAAATACAAATGAGGAGAATGTCAGTACACACTAATGGTCCGCCACTAAAAAGAGCAATACATCCACTTGTGTCTGTTTGCCTTGTTATTTTCCTATTTCGATCCCTCTTCTTATTTTCTACAAATTATAAAGGAAAGAGATGAATAATTTAAAAAAAGACTGAAGCCAGCAACAGTTTATTCTGTCTATACAGTACATTCAGCTCTGCCTGAAAATGATGACAGGCCAGAGAATGAGAGGCAATTAAGTTAAAGTTATCATTTAACTATACTTTTTCATAATGCATGCCGACAGCCCCAACAAAAAAGCCTTAGTGCTTGTTCTTTAAAGGGGACCTATCATGCTATATTTAAATGATATATTGTAGGGCCATACCTATATAAGGTATATTTATACGTTTCTGTTTTCAAAATACCAAACAGATCATGCATTTTAGCCATGCCTCATTTCGCTCTATGTGCTGTTTGCTGTCTACGGGGCTGATTCTGTGAGCTGCAGCTGACCACGCCCCCCTGCAGGAGAGGGTAGCCGTGCTCTGAGCAAGTCAAGAGGGGGAGAAAAAAAGATCTCCGTCCTCCATGTTTTATTATATTGTTATAGGCCTATAGAGTCGTTATTCATTTGTTTTAAAGCTCAATAAATAACAAAGAAGACCTTTGACCGGCACTTTTCTAATTTTGTCCGGAAGATTTAAACTTTAACGGACATCTTTGACTGGCGAAAGAAACTGAAACTGAAACTCTGCCGCACGGTCCCCTCGTTCCTTGGAAGAGGCGGAGAGGTGGGTGTTTGTCATCTGCTGGTGGACTAACCGCAGAGAATTACAGTGCTTGCCTCGACGGGGAGGGATTGCATTGCAGCGGGAGCAAACGCTTGCCTCGGGGAGGGAGAAAAAAAGCCACAGCGGAGAATAAACAGAAGGGTAACCATGGTAACTATGGGCGGGAAGTCTTCTTCGCTGCTTTTGTGGCAGACTACAGCGCCACTTACAGGCCTGGCATATGTACTACAGCGTCTCCAGCGCTTTCGAGCGGCAATGGCCGGCTGTGGCCCAACTCCACATTCCCCTGATAGGTGGAGAGTTGGCCCAATAGCCGTAGCGCCACTTCTGTGACGTCAGTGAAGTGTTCAAATCTGGATCAGTTTTTATCAGATCCGTTGCAGCCCCTTTTTTAGAAATGTGGGTATGGAGGAAAATAGAGATGGTTGTGTTTTCTGACACTTGGTGAGTTCCCTGGAACACCGGGGACACATATTCATGTATAAAAGACGTACAAAAGTGCATTTTGCATGATAGGCCCCCTTTAAGTAAAATCATTTCTAACTAACTCACAAAATCTTGTTTGCTAGAGTATTTTAAATAGCTAGACTAACAGGGTAGAAATCCAGAAATTAAAATGTAGAATTATTTGTGTAAAAAATAAATTAGAAAGTACTGTCTGCCCGGGAGCCAGAGAAGTGTTTATTGTAAATTAAGAAAAATGTGCATTATAATATCTGACCACTAGAGGGCAGTCTGACACTGTTTAAAGTGCTGGAGATGAGTTTCTGCTGTATCAGTTGCAAAGCACTGCTGTGAACACATGTACTTCAATAACATCTAAATGTATTGACTGTAACATCTGCAAAGTTGTGTTTGTGTACCTTCTTATCATCCTCCTCTTCATCCTGCAGGCTGCTGTTGGACTGTAAGGGGTCAGAGAAGGTGGGACCCTGAGAGTAGTACTGAGAGCTCCTGAATCCATCTTTCCTCAACTTGTCGCATTCTGCAGGACAAACAACAACAAAGGAATATGTTAATAAAGACAACAAATACTTGGATTGCCCTGATCGTTGTCTTTCTCTGAGCTTTTAATGTTTGCAACCAGACACTCATTAAGATCACGGGTATATATTTGCGAAGAATTTGTCAGGAGAAATGATCACAATACCTTTGAACAGAGCTTGTGTTGAGTGTGATACTGAAGAGTTTCTACAGTTCACACTCATCCTTCTTTGCTGCTCCAAGATATATTGATGTACCAAAAATGTAATGTGTAATTTGTACAGGCTAATTTGAGCGTACAATATTCATAAATAAGTCATTCAATAACACTAAAGTAGTAGGGATGTGTGAAATATCCATAGGACACAGAAAGATGTATTGCTATAACTGTGTGTGTGTATGTGTATGTGTATGTGTGTGTGTGTGTGTGTGTGTGTGTGTGTGTGTGTGTGTGTGTGTGTGTGTGTGTGTGTGTGTGTGTGTGTGTGTGTGTGTGTGTTCATCAGTGTATCAGTCCCTGTTGGACGCTGCCAAGCGCTGCTCACACTCCCTCTCGTCACCACCTGCTGTGACGGGCTGGTGATGTACGTCTGTGTGTGTGTGTGTGTATGTGTGTGTGTGTATGCCACTGTGTGATAAGAAAACACTTGATATATGATTGTGTGTGTGTAATAGGCACGGGTATCAGTTTCAGTCTGTCACACACAGATGGCAGAACTGTCCCTCTCTCTCCTCCATCCCCCTCTTCCTCTAAGGGGGGCATTTAGCACATCATCTCTCTTTGTCACTACAAATATCTACTAGTATATCCTTTGTCTAGTCTTGAATTAGCTAATTATATTCACTTAGTACTGTTATGACTAAAACACACAGTTGGGGGTTGTGTTTCCATTTGCTGATGCCTGTATCCAAAAGGTACTGTTTTATTATGAACCTCGCACATTTGTTTTTGAAAAGCTTTGAATAAAAATAAACTAAATTGGCCCTCTTCTAAATTGAAAGCATATCAACTGACATGCATACGTGTCTTTCTCTGCATATTATCCCTAATCCATACAAATGTAAACACCTCGCTGGTCTTTTATCTTGCTTCATTGGGATTTATTCAGTGTGTGATGCACAATCAAAATCCCTTTTGCTGAGTGACACGTGTGTGAACCAAAGCACACCCACACCGCTCCTCGCCTGGCACCTCAGAGATGCTGCTTTTAGATCCCTTTCATGTGCCACATATCTCCATAGCTAATTACAGCCCATCTCAGTGGAGACACACGCTGGTGCATGTATAATGCTGTCAGTAAATGGATCCTAATGGGGTTGGCAAAGGTAGCAAGTGTAACAAGCTGATGTGGTAGCGGTGTGGAAGAAGGGTTTTAAAGAAGCGTGATGAGGATGATGACGGGGAGCGGAGCAGTTGTGGTGATTGGGGAAGGTTGATTAGATAAATAGGACTTGATGAGCTGCTTGTTGCTAGGAAGAAGTGAAGGGAGGGGACACGAGACAAGGAGCAGAAAGACTCATGGATAGTGAGAATTGAAAGAATATAACAATATTTTAAAACATTATATCTTAGAGTTTCTGTATGACCTCACAGCTAGAAAGACATATTTATTCATTCACATTTATTCTTGCAAAAATAAATCCTAACAACAAGCTGGTGCCCCTGGTTAACACTGAGGCCCCGCTCACACGGGACCGTTTGCGTTTATGCACAGTATGCGTATTCAAAAAAGTCTTCCGTTCACATGCATTTGTTTCATTTAACGTGTCTGTTCAAACGAGGCCGCTGGAAACGCTGTAGTACATATGCCGGGACTGTAAGTGGCGCTGTAACTTCCGCCAAAATACACCAAAAGCAGCGAAGAAGAGCAGCCCAGCAGCCCCCGCCGCAATGTTGCCATGGCTACCCTTCTGCGGTGTATTTAGCAACATGTAGTTCATGTAATTCTCCATGTCCACTTGTTGCTGATGGTTGTGGTAGAGGAGCTGTATATTTTTGCACTAATATCTGTAGCATGGTCAGTAGCAGTAGCACTAGCAGTAGCTACTGACAGGAGGAAGTGTGTGTGGCTATTGCTGGTATTCAGCGGGATATAGTAATTTCCTCAGCATATGGATAAATGCAACGGGGAAGTTAACTGAAAGAAACCGAATCTGTGGATATTGCATCCCGACCAAGAAGCACGTCTCCGTGGAGAGGACGCGCTCAGAAAGAGAGATATTCTCTACAAACACCGGGTGAGATCGCACCTTTGTCAATATAATGGATCAATGCATGAAATCTGACTCTGTTTATTTTGTTTAAGGAGTATATTGGGCGTTAACAATTCTGGTTTGCCTTTTATAATATTATTTCATTCAAGAACCCCTTGTGCGTTTAATTAACACAGCTATTTTTGATAGTTGCTACAGCAGTGAGCAGGAGAGGTGGGGAGAGACGGGGCTATCGTTATTTTTTCAGGAAATATTCGTATCGAGGTGATTACACGGACTCGGTTGACCCCCCAGAGCGTTTCGTTTGCAAATCTATCCACCTTGGGACCCGTTATTGTTTGTGGGGTCAGTTTCTATCGGCCTCGTGTAAATAATAGGGCTATACGCACGCGAAACTATGCAGATACAAGCAGTTTTCTCCTCGTGTAAACGGCGCCTGAATGACATCATTGACTTTATTGTTTGTGATGTTATTGACACACACACAGGCGAGTGTTATGTAACACCTCTGCCCTATGTCGACCTGTTGGGTTATGTTCTGTATCTCACCAGCAGCTTGCAAAAGCCTCACGGCTGAACACACACAGAAGTCCATGTGAGAGTGAAACAAAAAGGGGAAGCACATGCCATCTGATTGTTTGATTATTTGCCTTTGCAGTGTAGAAGGTAGATATGTGTATCCTGCTGGGTTTAAGGACTATTTGGGTATGCGCTCCTGATAAATTAAGCAATAAATAATCAAATATCTTGTAAGAAATACTGTTATTATTATGGAAATTGAATGAAATGTAGTAATGAAAGTAGTATGCAAAAGTTTTTATATTGTTATATTTGGAAATAATGCAAACACCACTGAGTAAACACTAAATTAAATATATTTCTAAGGCTGGGCTGTAGGTAGATGTGTAACCTCCACTCTCAGCTGCATGGGAGTGGACCATCAAATGAACACAAAGACACATTCAGCACAGGTGCTCCCATTGGACACCTGTTGTCTTTCAGTGAGGACCCCTGGGGCTGGGAGGGGATGACAGGAGGAAAGGCCAGTGACAGAATGAGGAGGGGGGGGGGCTGAATAAATCCTACCTACCAGGTGGTGTTTGAGTACCTAGCAACATCAATATTGCAGGAAGAAATATGCAACAGCAAAGGTGTCAAACAATGCAAAGGACAAAGAAAAAAAACGTTGGGTGTGTGTATGTTTGTTTACGGTGATGACTATAGCTTTACACACTGTAGGCCTCATGTTACAACCGGCTTCTCCCTATTTATCTCTGTCTCCGCCTGTATCAGCCTGTTTTTTTATCTGGCGCTAAACAAGGCCACCCTATGTAAACAACAAGCCTTGACTGTAAAAACACACTCTTCCAAGCCTTTTCTCACACCTGCCTGTCATCCGTTATCTTAGAAATGACCGGACAACTTTCCCAGCTCTGGTTCCCAGGAACTGTTGGGTAAACAGGTGCCAGCATTAAATGGTATTCCCACTTCCTGTTCCGGGAATGTGGATATTAAAAAGTTGTCACTCTGTTGTGACTCAACTCCCTGTGTTTGTCTGACAACAAGGCTGTGTCTGTTTTTCTCTGATTGGACTGGACAAACAGGAAGGAGAGGATCTCGCACCGTTGTGTTGTTGGCTAAACTTTGGGGTGAACACAGATTACAGGTTTGGACATTTTAACAATGTTGTAGACAAACACAGCTGATCTTTTCTCCGATGCCCTGATGTTCAGTTCCATATATGAGGAGGTCCGGCAATATTCCCACAATTTAGATTTTTCAGTGTGTATATTTGTAGATTTAGTTTATAGGGAAGTAAAGGATTGATTGGGGAAGCTATTCATATATACATTTGAACTAAAATTCCTCAAAAAAAATTCAATTAGAGCTGAAACAACGTTCCACCTTTTACATGACTGTATATTGAGTTAAACAACACAAGACAACTTTACCATGTCAAATTGCTTTCTTCTTTTTTTCATGTTTTGTATTCATTCTAGAGGCTGTAATATTATACTCAACAGCAGCACTGGACCCATTGTATATACCTGAATATCAGATAACCCACCACCATTGTTTGTTGTTGTGATCATGTTGGACCATTACAAACTCTAAGAAGCAGTCCAATTATAGTAATGCATACCTCGCAGGGCGCTCTTCAGGTTGACTTTGGCCTGGCGGTGGAGGTCTTCTACGGCGGGGGGCCGGCTGCCTGGCAGGAAGACGTTCTCCTGCTGGTGCCACGGAGCTGTGTAATGCACCGTCCACTTGCTCTCCTCATCCAGGTTAGACACAGCTGCAGAAACACAGAGATAAGGCCAGAGAATTTAGTTAATTTAGTTAAACTTCCAATTGTATTAACACTCCTGAAGGGTATTCTGAAAACATCTTCCCATGACCAGTTGTTGCAGACCAGCAACAGTTGAAATATGACAAAAATAGGGTTAACAAAGTCTATATCCTTTGGTAACGGAGTCTGAGAATGAATAGTGTCCTGCACAGGCAGTAGCGGCAACTGGAGGGATTTGTTTATATTTGTCGGAGAAGAGGAAGTAGATTAAAGGTGCTTTGCATCGAGGTGCAAGTCTTCACACCAACAAAATGACACACATCTGAGACATCACACACAAGGCCACACAAGTCAGAGGGGGAGGAGGGATGAATAAGTTGGAGGGAAAAACTAACCACATGATATCCAGCTCAGAAACATAAACATGATACTGAAAAGATACAAACGCTAACTTTGAAACTAGCTAACTTGTCCTGAGAAAAACCACTTCAGAAAAACAATAACGAATACTCATTCAATGAAATCACTAGATCACAAAAGTATTTAAAAGCTTAACAAACACTACTGTGTTAAACATCAAACCATCTCTGTACTTACTAAATAGGGAACACACTCCTCTGTTTCTTGATGGTTGTTTTCTTGAGCACTTCTTTCAGTTAGACATCCTCAAACAATATTTAGCTGCTTTCTCTTTTGCTACAGCTGACGGTGTGTAATGCTGATGACCCAGAAACTGAAGCCTATTCCCATGCTGAATATGTAAACCACAAAATACAAGTGTCAGCAAAACGACTGAGAGTAAACACCAAGATCAACAAACACACTTTGCCAAAGTTAAGCTTACCAAGTGAGCGTATCCAAGCCAAAGTTGGTGAGTGTGGGTGTAGGACTAGCTCCATTTAAAGACTGCTATGTTTGTCCCTGTCCTGACCATCACAACATGTCCAACCGACTGTGACTGAGGGTTTGGAGGACCCAGGAGGAAGGGGACGGGTCATGAAAGGGGCCGGGAGTGTGGACTGTTTTTGTTTGAATGCCTTTCACAGGTGCTAATGAGCCATAGTAGGATGCATAGTGTGTGTGTGTGTCGGGGGAGGACAGGAGGCCTACAGGGCGGTATGCCTATGACTGCAAATTGGTCGTTGGAGAAAGTGTGAGACTGTGCAACTGCTTTCATAATGTCTGAAAAGACTCTGAGAAGATCTTCTGTGACTATCGAACTTTAGCTATTTGTGACTAGCACTGTGCGACTAATGGGTACATACGTTGGACATTGAACACATTTGTTGGATCTATTTTAAACAACAGTCCAACTTCTGCTGTTGCTGTTGACTAATGGCACCCTTACGTCTGTCTCTACAACCTTTTACCTCAAGGAGGAACGGTCAGCCGTTGACTGCCATAGGGAGAGGTCATTGTGTTTATTCATGTCTCCATTCACTCTTGTTACCAAACACTTAAAAAAGTTCTCTTCATCAACATATTTTCTAATTACTTTTTGTATGCTTGGTAATGTATGAGTAAAAATACAACAGAGATAGAGAGCCTTTTGTTTACTTTATAAACAACAACCACATGAGTCAATTGTAACACATACGGCACAATGCATGCAGGGAAAAAACAAACAAGATATCTTGTATGTAGAATAAGTTCTGTGACCGCAGTCCCAACAGAATAACCACTTATAAACATAGTCTTGTACAGATCTTCGCGAAAAATGATTTGGACTGAAACACAACAAGCCTAAAGGGTTGCCAAAGAACTCACAACACCTTCAGTTTTTACATTTTGTGAGGATGTGTGATGGGTGTAAACGTGTGCATATGTAAACAGGGTTTTACTGTGATGGTCTAACAGTGTTGTTCAACATGGTGTAGCAGCTTGCCTACACTGGTCCGAATAATCAATCAAATCTTCAATAGGCAATAATCCTCTGAACACAAGTCCAGACTGGAGAGTTGCTTGAAAAACCCACATAGTTGATGTTGAATTTGAAATGTGAAGGTTATAAAAGCAGGCTGGTAGTTTATTTTGGAGCTCACACCAGACCAATATGCAAGGCAGTGTCACTTCAGCTGTGAGTAAATAAGATGACATCATTAAATCAGCTTGCCTGGCTTAATAAGGGTCTACTTAATCAATTTCTAATATTCTTGCTCTCCCACACACACACACTGAGCACAGGTAGCCCTCCCCCAGCCCCTTTCAGATCGTGGGGTTTGAATAGACCTCAGCAGGGCTAGGCAGACCAAGGACATGGGGACTATGGACACAAAGCCTGTATTGTCCCTCTGCATCGGTCTCCACATCAGGCCTTTCAGTGCCACAATATGCCCTAGCTCCTCAACACACACACACACACACACACACACACACACACACACACACACACTGGACTCTGGCGCGAAGTCTTTTGAGGAGTCTTCTAATCCTTCTGGCCATCTACATCCCTACATCCACTAAAACTCAGAGCAAACAGGGGGAAACTCTGATGGACACAAACAGGCGACATCAGAGGCTGCACAGGACAACTGGAAAATGCATTTGAATGCACGTAGACACGCACTCTCATTATTAGCTGTTACAATCAATAACCTACGTTAATACTGAACTGGGTCCCCAATCATGCACCAGCAAATATAGTATTGACTTTCATGCATAATAAAACGTTCTATGTTCTGTAAGGATAATCATATCATTTGTTCAGGTAGATTTTGGAGATATAACATAGTTAAAGAAAGGGTTGCAAACGCAGGGATTATAGGGGATATTTCTGATAACGTAATAAACGTAATGTCATATTGAAAATTGTCAAATGTCAAGGGTATCTTTATGCCTCACATGATTATTAATATCATAGAATCAATGCAGTTTACTTTGTTTACTTATTTTATATCTTCAAAGTGTGTGCAGTCCTGATAGTATAAAAAAGACGGGGGTCTCTGGACTGCAGTGGAAGACCAAGGTGCCCAGCTGAGGCGCAAAGTGCAGACATGTGCAAGATAAGACGCGTGAGGTAGGAAAACGCTGAGCTAATCATTAACAATATCACCTCAGCCTTGACTGTAACACATGTTATAAATACACCTGAGATTAGAGTCCGCACAGTCAGCTGACTGTGCGGACTCTAATCTAACCTATCTCTCCTGTTGTTAAACCCTCATTTGCTTAATACACAGCCATTGAAGGAATAACTACACTATACAGCCTTGGAGCATGAACTACTCCTGCACTCCACTGTACATGCTTGGCAAACAGACCTACAATTGTTTCTTTGAATATCAAGATCAGATTATCCGGAGAATTTAGAACCAAGTAAACATTAAAAAACGTCTAAATTGTTCCAGAAAGAAAGAAAATGGCCCAACTATATCTAATCGAGTGGCTGTTGTCCAAAATGCTTCCAGCTGCTACCTTAACAAACGCTGTCGGGTCATTTATGGCTAATGGTTGTCGGCTCTGTGAAGTGTTGTCCCAGTGGTTACCTGGTAACAGGGTGCAACAGAGGGTCGTCCCTGGGCTCAGCAGAGTCAGCAGTGAAGCATTTGTTTTTATTGAAAGTATATATCAATCATTTAAGATGTTCTGTGTACACATTACATACAGCAAAGCTTCAATAACGTGATTCAAAATGGCCATTCAAATTAGCAGGGACCAATGGAGTAATTACAGTATTTAAATATTCCTGTCAAATTGATACAAAAACCAATTGAGATCCACTCCTGTTCATTTGAACTCATTTTCTTGATCAGAATAAGCAAAAGATACTTCTCAGACGCATTGATAATCAATATAGAGTAGAATAAAACACATCTTACCCTTCCTTTTGAAGTATTTAATCACAGATTTTAACGAGGTCCCGATAAACACCATTATTCCGGTTAAATGTATGTGTTTTTCTATTTTAAAAAAACTGTCCTTGACAGACACAAAATATCCAAATCCAGGTAAAAAGAGAGGAATAGGGGATGAAGTAGTTCTGGTTTCGGCTCACATTGTTACTACACGCAGCCCGGCTAGGAGTGTGTGCGAGCGTCTACTATGATTCTCTAACCTATCTCTCTCTCTCTCTAAACACACATTGAGTCCAACACTCCCCCCCTCAGGCAGTCCAGTCCTCGGAGACGCACACACACACACACACAGAGCGGGAGGGGTGTAGGACCGGCCCCTCTGTTCCTCTGTGCATTGGTTACCAAGGAGTTCTGGCTGCCTCTCCCTTCATTTCTCATCATCACTCGTTCTCTTCTCTCCCTACACCCTCTTTCTTCTTCACTCTGCGGGACTCTGGATATAGCTGAAAGTTAAACATGCCTTATTAGAATGAACAGGCAAACCGTGCACTTTTACTACGCAGTTCAATTTTAATTTCAGTTCCTCGCGCTCTCTTCCTGACTTTGTACACTGCTCAGTGTGAGTATCAGTGTGTTGCCGCTTTGACAGACTCATCTGGGGAATATTTATGCATCCAATTAAACTATCAGTCACCTCTCCGGGAGAAGCTTGTACACCCTTGAAAACAAATGTAGCTTTTCATGAGGTATTCTCAGGAGAATGCAGGTCCCACCTGTATGCAGAGTGTAATGCAAACAGGAAACACTATTACACACAGTAGAATGCACTAAAGCCCTGACATTTATCTCCTTTGGTCTCAATTTGTTCCAATTCATGGTTAGTAAAACAACATTAGCTTAAAAGGACTAAACCGATGCCTTTGGTTATCTAAAACCCAATTTTTTTAATAGAGCTTATTTTCCATATATTATTTTAATTTGTTCTTCCCTCTGGATGTTTTTTTATGAACCCCTCTTCCTCCATCTGATCATTCCCAGCCTGCTGTGTGCGCACATGGCCACTGAATCTGTGCCACATGAATATAGATCACATACAATCCTCCCATTGTCCAATCTGCTCACACACACACACACACACACACACACACACACACACACACACACACACACACACACACACACACACACACACACACACACACACACACACAC